ATCTTCCAAATTAATAATCCCTCAATACTCTTAATGCGCAACTTCCAAGATGTCTACTTCTTTTAACTAATAATTTTTTTTTTTTAAATTAGTTTATAAAACGATTAGTAAACCGAGTGGTGCATGTGAACATAATTAATCATTTTTCTCTTTGAAAGATTGTTATATTTTATTTATTATATTTGGATGGAGAATCAAAAAAAAAAAGAAGAAGAGCAAACGTGTTGAAGAGGCGCGTTCGACAAGAAATATTTTGCATTATTGCATATTAAATCAGTTAAAATCAGAGACAATCACTTTCAAGTCATTAGTTTTTTCCCAACTCGATGACTTAGGCAAGAATATAATATATGTATTTATCGAAGTTATCAAAACGAGTTAGAACGACATTATTATAAAATCCAAGTATATATTATATAGATAGAATGAATCACATAAATCTACACACAATCTGATACAGCGATGCAATAATTAATCAGTGCAAAATGTTGACAGCTTAAAAGGGCATTAGAAGATCTCTCGGATTCCTTGCCAGTTTGTTGGATTAGAGTCTTCAAGAATCAAAATTTGTTTTCAAGTAGAAAGCAATTTTTTCTTCATTTCTTAGAGTCTAAATCATACAGTAAAAGGAATGGGAAGCAATTACTTTGGTGAGCCAAACCTAGGAAATGAAAGAGGATCATCTTCATCAAGAAAAGGGAAAAAAAGCAATTCAGAAAAGCCTAAACAACCTCAAAGAGGGCTTGGCGTTGCTCAGCTTGAAAAGATTAGATTGCATAGCCAAATGGGCTGCACCTACCTTCCTTCTTCTGTTCATACCCCTTATGCCCCAAATTTCAGCCAGGTATTCAGTAAATTATTATTATTATTATCTTTTGGTTAGATTTCTCCAATGAAATGATTAAAAGATAAATCATAAATTAATTATATGTTTGTTGATCATTTGTGAAATTTTTCTAGTTCTTGGAGTTTTATAATGTGCTGACATTTCTGCAGGAGGATATGAGACTTCCAACAGGCTATTCATCTTCGTCTACGTCCTTCCCATATTCATCATCAGTAGTATCCTCCTCTTCTTATGGATTTTCAGGAACCCAAAACTTCATGGTAGGAGAACTTTCAACAAAAGAATTTGTCATCTGATCTTATTACTATTTCCTTGCGATCATTACAATTAGGTTTGCAGTCGAAATTCAATTGTTAAAAACTTAATAGTGGGTAATTAGAATGGATCTGTATCATAACTAATTTTCTATGATCATCTCATCCACATTTTCCTCCAAAATCTGAAATGCCACTTTATTTGGAAATCCGATGCCTCATAATTAAGAATGATAATTAACCCTAGATAAGAATGACGAGCTTATACTTGATGATTTCAAGATATGGGTGTTTTTTGTTCAACTTAGTTTTTTTCATATTTCCGCTTACCTAATTTAGGTGGTAAAAACATTACCTTGTAGAAATAGAATATTGGGATGAAATCATAGGCAAATATTCTAAAGAAAATGTCTGTGTTTGTTATAGATGGGATTGCCAGACTCAGAAAGGGCAAATATCAAATATGAAGATTCCCAACCGAGCAGTGCTTCAAGGTATGTATTTATGTACTTCTCAAGTTTTTGCAAGATTTCTGTTTTTTAGTTTGAATACTTGCATAATTCCGTCGCAAATTGGGATTTAAATCAGATGGAATCCAGGCGCTGCAGTATCGGGAACCCAACATTTTTCGCAGCCAAGCACGGCAAAGCACTTCTTCAACCTGGAAGTAGAGGTACTTCACAACATTTTCGGGTTGAAAATATTGTTAGTCACTCAATTTATAGCATTGCTTCGCTTTAGTGGAACATAATCATCGAAAATGCTCACGAGCTAATACTGACCATTTTAATTTTTAATTTTTATTTTTTTATTTTTTTTTGCCAGGAATCGTTCAATGGGAAGAAGAAAGGCAGGGGTCGTTCAATGGGCTCAAGTAATCAGAATTCTGAAACAAGTGACACCCAAGAAATAGATTTGGAGCTCAGATTATAAGTTCAAACTACCAATTTCTAAAACTTTAGCCGATAGATTTGTAATTAAGTTGAGCATCTTGAGTCAACTTACAAGCAAGTTTAAGCGTCTTGATGCACTTGTCTTGTAATTTGTACTGTAGTAGAAGTTACTTTGACAAGAAATTTTTTATCAAATACATTCTATAACTTCTTTATTACAGCATGACTATGAGATAATTCTCAGTTCTGTTTCTTTTACATAAATTCATTCAAGAAAGTCTTGGATCAATTATTTAAGCATAATTGAGTTTTACAGATGTTTTCATTATCTTTAACATTTTTTTTTTTTTAATAATATGAACTTTATTAGAGAACCTCAAAAGGGCCATATATAACTGGACTATACAGGTTAAATTTGGATCAATTGTACATATTGGAAAATATATTAAGCTCTTATTGGTTGGACTAGACCTCATTGTACATTTCGTGAAGGTTAATGTGGATGGAAGGAAGTGCAAGAGGTCAACCGGGTCAAGCTGCTGCTGGAGGTGTCTTAAAGGGATGATGGGGGTTCATGGATTAATGGCTTTGCTTATAGAGTTGGAATATCATTCGTCTTAACAACAAAGCTTTGGGTGATTTATCATGGTCTCCGACTTTGTTGGGAGCAGGGTTATAGAATGGTTGAGCTGGAGTCATTTTCTAGTTGCGATTTAAAAGATCAATAATCATACCATTTGGTCAAATCATCATTGACATTTGATCAATACAATTGAAGGCCTTCAACAGCAGAATTAAGTCTGCTCCATAAGACATGTTCATAGGGAGGCCAATCACAACGCAGATTGGATGGCCACTCATTTCGACCATTTAAGTTTCGGCTTACATATTTTTAGCTCCCCTCATGGTGACTTGTCTTCTTCGGCTTACATATTTTTAGCTCCCCTTAAGGTGACTTGTCTTCTTATTTACTGACTGATGCTTTTGGTATATCTTAACCAAGATTTATGTAATTTGAGAGTTCTTTATTCCGTAGTATTAATTTTTTTATTTTTTATTTTTTAAATGTTGTGAAAGGTTGGATCGATCTAACCTGAAGGCATGCCAAAGGCGTATCCACAAGGCCTCAAATACATTTTGTACGAGATAAAATTGCTATGGAATTTCTTTTTATTCATCCAAAAATCATGGACAAGTCTCAATGAAAGATAATCAAGCATTCCTTGAACTTCTGTCACATGTTTTAGTTAGTCGTGAAAAAGATTTTATGACGACTTTAAGTCGTCGTAGAAAAGATAATTCTTTGTAGTATCATGTTATATGATAATTGTTTAGGTAAGCATATCATCTCATCAAACGCTAGTCAAAAGGAGAGGAGCCAAATATTAGTACCATATCAAACCACAAAGGTCCATGCATCATTAGAGATAGAAAGATTCCTCATATATAACTATACATTCACATGTATACAGTGGATAACTATATATGATTCACAGGAAATAAAATGTTTGTTCACTATTGTTTTGTTGCAAAATAATTGGAAATCGAGACAATCGAATAAAAAGTTAATACATGTTACTTAAAGGCAAACTTTTTAATTATACAAAGTACAAATATATATTATAGAATAATATTTAGGTACAATTAAAAGATGGAAACAAGAGATTATGTTGATTGCGTTTAAATCAATATTCTTTTAAATAAGAATAATGATTCCATTCAAAATATAGTAAGATGAACAAAGTGTAAAATATGGTTATACTATCTAATGTATGTTGTGGGCACATGTTGTAAAAACTACAGTGTCTGTGTATATATATATACACATTTATATTTTATACGCTGTTCTCGAAGCTATCCCTTGAAGATCGCTGCCTGTTTCATAAAACACAGTTAAGCAGTTCCAAATCAATCTTGTTAGACATCAAATCATCCTTAATGCCATAATCGAATATTAAATGATAATAGTCTATACAGAAATTTTATCTATTTATGTCTATCATACCTGTTAAAAAGTTGAGGATATTCTTTCTTAGAACTATACCGGTATGAAAGAATAATCCAAGATTCTTGTTAAGATTCATCTTATTAATTCTCACATTTCTACATGAATCAATGTTATTAGTAAGAGCAAAATGCATTCCGAGAATTACAATCTATGTGATATGGAAATAGATAACTTTCAATAACGCATTTGTATCTAATAAATAGACGGTCAAGTCTCAAAGTAATTTTCAATGAATTCCATCTGTATTTCAATATTTCCATCTTTTATTAAAACTAAAATAAAGACAATAAGATAGAGTGAAAGAGAAATAAATTCTAGGCAATTAGATTACCTAGAATTTATTTTTCTTTTCATGCAAATTACATACTTGCAATCAAAGGTACCCTAATATTCTAAGAACAAAAAACATAATCAATTATATTGCTAGAAACATGTTTAACAGAATCTCTATCTCTAGACCTTCATCTAGACATTATCTATTGGAAAAAAATCATACATCCCTCACACTCATTTTCTATTACATATTCTTTAATTTTTTATTTTTTTTTGTTTTTCATATTTTCTCATAATCTTTCCTACTTTTTAACCGTACATACTTAGAAAAATAACTTTTCAAAAAAATATTTTTCAAATATTCACTTTCACCCAATCACTTAATATATTTTTCTCTTTTGACATGGTGGCTGTAATCACTTTTCACTTGCTCTTAGTATTTATTTGATACACATTAGGGTACTTGACGGGGTAATACAATTAAAAGAAATATTGTCCATTACTATCCAATTCTTCTATGAAAAATAAGATTTTTTATGGAGCCAAAGGATTGGCGGGTTTGATGAATCTCCTTGGCCGAATCTTCTATTTTTTATGAGCTTATTATATATTTTAATTAATTTAGTTCTTACTATTAAGCCACTATGGCGTTTACATCCTTAGTAGTTTTAAAAATTTATTTATTTATTTTTTGAATAACTATTAAAACACTTCATATTGTTTTTTATTTGGATGGTTTAGATTAGTGAATCAAATTTGCGAGTTTTATCTTGTCGAGTTTTCCATATTTTTGTGAAGATTCAATTCTCAAAATATGTAAGTATTTGCAAAATCAACAAAATTTGGTGAACGCGGAATTTTTTTGCTTACATAGGTATGTCAACGAGCTGAGCCGAGTTGGCTCTCGAGCAAAAGATTCTAGGCTAGGGTAAAATAACTGAGCTTTTTTTTTTGGGCCCGAGCTAGGCTGAGCAAAAGCTCAACAAAAAAAATTAGGTTTGACCTGAACTTTCGACTTGGGGCTTTTCGAGCCGAGCCGGCTCGGGTTTTGTTCGGTTTGCTTTTTTTTAATCAAAAAGGCAGCAACTAACAATGTTAGTTGCTGCCAAACAAGGCACCCTGCTGCCTTTATTATTATTTTTTTAAATACATCTCGGTTCTCCCGAGCTGACGAGTCACACGGGTCGGCTCGAATTTTGCTCGGCACCTAAAAATGGGGTTCAGCCGGAGCCTCGAGCCGGACGGGCTCGAGCTTTTTTTGAGCCAAGCCACGGGCGGCCAAAGCTAACGAACCCGATTGCCATCCCTAGATTTACAATATTACAAAAAATTATATCATATAATTGACATGTCACATACGTAATTTCTTTTATTTTTATTTTTATTATTTTTTTGGTCCCTTTGCATGGAAGGAAAACATTAATTTTACACTTTTATCTTCCAAGATTTTTGTTGGGTGATATTAGGCTCTCTTGACTCCAAAAGTTAGCTCAGAGGGTGAGACTTTCCCTCACACTTATAAACTGACTACCAACCCCTTCTACTATTGATGTGGGACAATATCAACAATATCTCCCTCACACATTGGGTCTTACGGGAGACTAAACCCGTCTCTCCCTCACACATTGGGCCCTACAAGAGACTCTCCCCCTCACACAAACCCGCGTCTCTCGTGACTGTTGGGCCTGAGATTGTTGATAATTTGGGCTCTGATACTAGTGTTAAGTGGTATTGGGCCTTCTCAATCTCAAAATCTAGTTCAAAAGGTAAGACTTTCTCTCACACTTATAAACAGACCATCAGTGTAACACCTCGAATTTTACCTATATTTTTATATGGGCTAAATTTAATGTTGGTCATTTAATAGATGAAATAGTCCATGCCAGTCTTGCCATCACATTAAAGTTCAAAAGTTGAAGTGATAAACGCAACACACTTATGTGTACTTTTTAGAATTTATCGTAAGTTATTTGGATCGAATATTTAAGTATTTTAAAAGTTGATGAAATATATCAAATATTATACTCATTTGTAGCTTGTATGAAATAATATATTTGGGCTCAAGAAAAAATAATTTTGAGTTAGTCCTGTCCGAGTTATTCTAATAAAAAGAAAAGTGTTAACTTTTTCATATTTTATTAATATATATAATAAAATAAAATAAAAAGGACATAACTTTAGGTAAGAATTTAAGAAGATTTTAATCATAATTTTCATTAACTTTTGATGATAATAATTAACATAATTAATTCTTAATTAACGTGAAATGCATTGGTTGAATTACGTCTCCAACGTTTGAAGTCCCTAAAGGTTCCGGGTGAGTGACTTATTTAAAGTGTGAGGTGAGAGAATATTTTGTTAGAAATTTTTATAAGTCCATTTTTATTTTAACACACAAACACTTTATTCACTTTTACATTATCATTTCAAATCACTTTTGTTTCAGAATATTTGGTGTTAACTAAGATAAGAATACATCATGCAAAATGGTAAATTCTTATTCCTTGATGTTTGTATAATTTTGGCATAAAATGCTATGAGGCCTTTGGGTCGAACTCTATGTTAAATCCTTCGGGATGAACTGTTAGGCCAAAGATGTTAAATCCTACGGGATGGACCGTTTGGTCAAGTATGTTAAATCCTACAGGATATGGGAATTCTTAAGAAATTCCTTGAACTCTAAATTTAAGAAGTGACGGTATGTTATGTTAGTTTTATATTTTTATCATATAAATAAGAATGTGCACGTATTCTTATTGAGTGTTTTCAAAATACTCACTCTTATTAAAATTTCAGATTGGAACGAGTCATGTGGACGCATAGAACATTGACCGAGTGATGCTTATGGGGTCACCAAGTAAATTTTCTAGAAAATATAATTATCAAACTTTTATTTAAAGAACATCTTCATATTGAATTTTGTGCACATTGTTTAATGACTATTTTTATGCATCTTCAACAT